AGTAATGATTACAATGCACTTGAGAAATACATCAGTAGTCCAACAACAAGAAAGAGAGAGATATTTGCAGGTGTGTTCAAAGTCATGTTCAACCCTGCACAACCCATGGACCACAGCACACAGGCTCTCCTGTCCTCCACTGCCCCTTGGAGTCCACCCAACCCATGCCCACCATACCAGTGACTCCATCCAGCCACCTCAATTTCTTCCCGTTCCTTTCTCCTTTTGCCTTCATTCCTCCAGCATCAGGGTGAGTTCTTCCTTCTCATTAGGTGGCCAAACTATTCGAGCTTCTGCTTCAGTATCTGTCCTTCTAGAGAACAATCAGGGTTGATTTCCTTTAGGATTGACTGATTTGATCTCTTTGCGGTGCAAGGGACTCTCAGGAGTCTTCTCCAGAACAATTGATACATATATTTATTAGTATCTAATTGCAGTCTAAGACAGAACAGATTCATTGAAATGAATGGTCCTCCAATTAGTCTATTCTGCGTAGAGTAACACTGGATACTAGTCATTGGAGCTGGTATGAATGGTATGTATACAAATCAGTCACCCCTAGCTCACATCTAACTCTCTTAATCAAGAGTCATTGTGGTTCAGCATTTTGGAAAGAAGACATCAGCTTATAAGATTCTACCATTACCTTCACAAAGGCTTGTTTTGGATCAAAGCAGCACCTGGCAGTATTTTAGCAGAATGGAGAGAATGAAATAAAGCATCATCCAGTGTTATCACCAGGCAAATGCATGTTGTATACAAAAAAGTTAGAAAGATAGTTTAAATATTATGTTTCAGTATGCCAAACCACTGTTATTTCCATATACATTCTGCATGAACCTGTATAGTAGAAATGTGAAAGGAAACCACAAGAAACACTCCAATAAATGGGTAACTGAGTAGATTGTCCTTAAAATACTGCACAATAAGGTAACAAAGATAAACTATAAAAGAGACTGAAAGGCTGATGGCAATAAAGCTTTCTGTTTTTTCTTAAAACACGGGCTTTGTTACCAGATGTCCTGTGATTTACTTTTCTTAATAAGAATGTGATTTGTTTGTCCAGATAGGTAGCCATTTAGCCCAACTAAAAACCATTCATTTTTCTAGGGATTGTGTTTGGTGTCCCATACCAAGGCATGCACTTTGGGATCTTTGCCTGGGTGTTCCAGCCTTGATCATCCTCATAGCATTATTTATATATTTGTTTATTTATTTATTTTTGAAAACAGGAAGGGAAGAAATGTGCTGTTGTGCAGATGAATATGTCACTGCTGGCATTCACTTACTGCCATTTCCCGACATGATATATGTTATCATTGATGCAGATTGTCACCTGTCATAGAGATCTACAGTCACCGTGCACACACTGGATTCCTGTCTCCTGATTTGCCTTGTGTCTTTTCCCTGCCCTTTTTATTTTTGTGTTTGCAGTTTGACTTTCCGAATTGCTTCTGGTAAGAATTCAAATGCCATTCCCTTCTCCTGTTTGATATGCTGTTACAGTTTTGATCAGAGTCATAAAATCCAAAAGATCATATTGCATACAAAATACCCAAAGTTGCTGTGATCAGATGACATTTTGTCCTTTCTGTCTTGAATTTACTTCTAATCAGAATATCATTGAATGATAAGCAATGAAACTCTCTCTCTCTCTGAGTAAATGAAACACGTCCTGCATTTTCTCACAATACAAATGTTTGTTCCTTCAGGGCCTGTAGGCAGAGAATCGTAAAGGATGAATGAAATCATTCTGAGTCCTAAACATTGCATTAGGTTTTGCTGGATCAACACAATGGGATGCTTTATAAGTCCACTTGATACAGCTGTGTGTGTGTGTTTGGAGGGGGTATTAAGTGCATTCTTCATTGAAGAAGTAGGTTTGCAAAGTTAACCCACTTCAAACAAGCAGCTCTCCATTTTTTTAAAAAAAATCAGAGTAAATCTAAGTCTATATTCATTTACAATGAGAATCTAGGCAGCTGTATGGTTACAGGAGCATAAGGAACTAGGAAAGACTACTGATCCATCTAGTCCAGTGTTGCCAACTCTGCTCAGTAGTGGCTCTCCACCATTTCAGACTAGGGTCTTTAGTAGTTTCATGTAAATGGAGAATAGTACAGATCCCTGACACACTCCATGCTGGACAATCCACAGGGCTGAACAGTATTCCTCAAGCACCACCTTCTAGAGACAGGCCAAGTTCGAGAGCAGAACCACTGCAATACAGTACCACCCACTCCTAGCTCAGAGAATTGCCCCATTGATCAATGGTATTGAAAGCCACCAAGATGTCCAGGAGCATCAACAGGATCACACTTCACCTCCCAGAATAGCTCATCATACAGGGCACAAAGGCTGTTTCCATGCCAAAACCAGGTCTGAATCCTCACTAAAATTGACCCAAATAGTCTCATCAAGAGTTGATTGGCAACCACCCTTTGAAGAACCTTGCCTGAGAATATGTTTGCTACTAGCCTAAATCTATTAAGGTCTTATGGATCAAAGGAGGATTTCTTCTGAAGTGATCTCACCACCACCTCTTTAAGGAAGTGGGGGATCACCCTCTCACACAAAGAGGTATTAATCACCTCCCTGTCCCAGCCAGTTATTCCTTCCTTAGTGGTTTTAATAAGCCAGGAGGGGCAACGATCCAGTACGGAGATCCTAAGCACCTTCTCAGGTATTAAAATCTCAGTAGACTTAAGACAGAAATGCCAGGAGCTAAACTTTGGAGATCCTGCATGTAAAACATGTGTTCTACCACTAAGCTGCAGCCCCTCATGAACTTGGTCCATATAGTTCAGTATTGCCTACACTGGAGGGTGTCAGACAAAAGTCTTTTCTATCTGGAAATGCTGGAGACTGAGCCTAGGATCTTTGGCATGCAAGTCATGCGCATACCATTTAGGGTCATGCTTCATTTTACATGGGTTATGTAACGTGAAGCTACCTTTCTTTGCTCTGAAGACCCATCCTGGAACCACTGCATGTGAGAAAAAGAATTTTAATGCTTCCCTCCTCAACCATTTTCCCTCAGAGCTGTTCTCCACCATGCAGTGCTTAGAAAAAGCCTTAACTGGTGCTTATATAAGCTTTTTACCTTTCCGTAACTGCCAAGATAGGCAGAATTGGAGATGAGAGAAACATGTAGTGGTTCAGATTCAAATTGGGATCCCACATTTTTCTTAAGAGTCAAAACAAACAAAAAAAGGAAATGCATGCTATGTAAATAATATAATGTATGACTTGATCCTGAGTTTTCCATAGTGTCCCAATCCAAATTTCTGCTGTTTTGGATTGTTTCTCTCGTTTGCAGGATGGTCTTGATGCACCGGTAAGCTACTATTTTTCCAAATGTCTAGATATGATAGAGGTCTAGATCTTGCTACAAGTGCCCCATTTAATGAAGTTTTCAGTTCTTTTTTGCCCAGTTACCAATGCACATCGGTGAATTGATTAGACTGTGCAAATAAGATATTGCTATGATCATAGAACTGGTTAAAGATTCCCTTTTGCACTGTGCCTCGATCATTGCACATACATGCACTTGTTTATTTCATTTATTGAATTCACTTGTTACAATTCCCTTGTATGGTATGCCTGTAAAAATGTTATACCAATCATTGAGAGAGTTGCTAGAGAGAGTCTGCATGCTTGTAAGATAATGGGAGTCCCAGCTCTGACCTCAGAAACTTATTCTGTGATCAAAGCAGGGAATCTGACCTATGAGCTCCCTCTGTCTCTGCCAGTGCAGCTGGTGAAGAAAGAAGCCCTTGGTCTGTGGCTCCCAGGTCACAAAAGCTACCTCAGAGATGAGCTTTTGTGGATGGGAAGTAACTGGGGAAGGCAGGAGACACCCGTGGCTCCCCTCCTCATGCTTTAAGGCAGAACACATAGACAGTCAAAACTGGCATCTAGATGTTTTGCATGGCCAGAGGAGCACAGAGGTGACTTTTGCCTCTGCCCTTCTGATTTACTTACACAAGATGCACACGTTGTCCGTAATCATCTGAGTTGAGAGGGGTTACAAGCAGTTTCCTTGGAATGTAGCCTGAATAAACTAGAAATAGTTTACTTAACAGAAAAATAGATAAATGAGTAACAATAGCTCATCCTTCCACTATAATGGGTTTGTTTGTCCTAAGAGGTAATTCCATGCAGTCATTTTAGTTCCTTTATTGATGCATGAATAAAAATGACAAACCTAGAGACTGCAGTAACATAAAGGATATATGAAGGTTGTTCAGAAGATTGGTAAGGTTTTGAACAAAGTCTCTGTATAACTATAATAGAGGTCACCAAAAGAATTCAATCTTTGCCAAACCAGATAAGGTAAAGCTAGACTGCAGTGCAACGATACCGCCATTGTCAGTATTTGATTCACATGATGTGGCTTGCCCCTTTCCTGGCATTATTGCTGAGTGGGCTACAACTCTGTGAACAGGCAAAAAATAAATAAATAAAAACCCTGTGTAATAAGAAAATGCTGTGTGGTCTTTTCTACCAGAGCAACAGGTGACTATTTCACAAGTTCATGAGCTAGGATGAACCACTACTGCCAGCACTTCCAGTTTTATATCAGCTGTCTCCCACTCTTTTCCTCTTACAAAGAGTCTTTCAGTATCCCTGGAGGTACTTTTATTTTCCTTTTAGCTCTTCTTTTATATCTGGTGTCACCCTCATTCTCGCCCACCAACATTTTTTTTTTTTTTTTGGTGTGAGATGGGGGACACTTTCATTTCGGTTTTCATCCCTTCAAGTCTCGTACACTTTATCTCTTTCTCTTGTAGTCTTTATGGTATCACTTGCACATGGGGTCGTTGCTAATTTAAGGGGGCTTCCTTGGATGAACTTTCATATCGCTGATCACTTTAACTAAGCCTTAAGCGAAGTATTTCAGCCTTTCTGAATGGGCAAAAAACCGTGCAAAAGCTGGGAGGTTGCCAGATGATAAGCAGTGAGGGAAAAGAGGATGGGGACAGGGTCATGCGTGGCTGCCTGGAGAAAGCCATTCCCACATCAGAATGCCTGTCTCCATATATCCCAACCAGACTGTTAAGATATTCAGTGGAAGACCTTCTAAGCAAGCCCTGCCCTCAGTGCTGTCCAAGGAAGTAAAAGGGGAAACAACAAGGGAAAGGGCTTCTCCGTCATCACGTCTCACTTTCGGAATGTCCTCCCTAAGGAGACACAATGGGCACCCTCATGGTTTGATTTCTATCCCAGGTGAAGACATTTTAATTTCATACTGTTTTTAGCATAATTATGCTTGCATTTGTTTTCTTACCGCTTGCTTCTATTTGTCATGTATATTGTCTCCTGTTGCCATGTTAACGATTCTTTTAAGATGCTGGATTAGTGCTTCCTAAAATTGCTGGTTTTATTCTGTATATCATTGTTTTGTGAGCTATCCAGAGAGCTATGGGGTGGACTACAAGTGTCATAAATAAATTAGACATAAATTAGACATAAATAAATTAGCTGAAGAATTAACTAAGTTGAAGAATGGACAGGTTTTCCAGGTAATACTAAACAGATATGGTTAACAATTGATAATAAACGGACTAAGGGTATAGTCCTACTTACACTGAAGAAAGTTTTACAATTCCCATCATATTCCAGGAAGCTGGCTGGGGAATGCTGGAAGTTGTAGGTCCTTTAAATGTCTAATATGCATAAAGTTCACCTTCATTCTAGAATAGTTCTTTTTTTTAATGAAGCTGCAAAAAGTGCAACCTCCTTTCTAGAGTGAGATATATAATTCATGAGCCTCCATTACCTCCAATAGTGGATGAATAGATTTCATTTCATGCCTGGAAACTATACAAAATGTTTCATCTCTCTACAAATATACCACATTTTAAAGTCATTTTCAATTATATATATATTTTACCTAAAGTATGCAATTTTGTATACTTTATACATTTTTAATTGGAGAACTACATTTTTAACCAGAAAAGTACATCTCAAAGTTCAAAAGAGTGTGGATATCAAAGTATAATTGCAATCTGGTTAGCATATTACACTTGCAGTAATCACCAGGAGGAACTGCAGAAAGAACAAATTTGAGAGGGTGACAGAGAGAGGAGTCCTATACCAAGATATTGTTAACATTCAGTTTCCCATAGTTTTTCCAAAGCCAAGAATGATATGTATTCAGCTGTACCTCTTTTCATTCATCAACACAGAAGAAACTGTAAGCATCATTTCCATATTTTTAACCCCATGTAACTAGATTGGATGCCTCCAAATAGTCATCTGAACTGTGATGCTGTTTTTTGTTTTTTGAATAGAAACAATCCAAGTGGTTTAAGTAGCTCCGACATTTTCTTCCAGCAGGCACTCCATGCAATCGTAGGTGAAGAACGATTTCATCGATTCTTCATCTTTCCTGAAGTCTTGTTAAGATATATAGTTGCAATTAGAAGTTCCTTCCAATGATCATGAAAAAGTATTATTGAACCAAATTAAAAGGTGCCTGAGTGAAAATCTGTTTCCTAGAGGTCTTCTAGTTGGGCTTGGAGTCTCTTTGATGAGTGTACTAGAAAAATATGAACTGTTTCCCTCCTTTCTGCTTTGCTTCTTCAAGCATGGTTCTCTTTAACTGATGTAAAACATTTTTCCATTAACAGTCCGTGAAACAGTAAGCATCCACATTGGGAGTGATATTTAATTATTGGCTCTCTGAAGGCACCCGATTTCTCTGTATTTCCAACTGTGATAGACTTTTATCAATGATTACTGCACAGCTGGAATTTCAGCACTTTAGAAATCTTTTGTGCTTGACTTATGTTCTAAGATGGCTGCAACTGGTTGAACCTGGGGCTGCACTTTCAGTTCAGAAAACAGTAGGCCATCCTTTAAGCACATTTCCCCTGAATTTCTATGTCCCACTCTGTGGTCACTGATACTGTAATCATTAAAGCTACACAGTGCGTTCTTCTGCTTGTATTTTTTCACATTTTCAGTTGAATGATTATTACATGATGGTCTTTTCTGTCTTTTCTATAGTCATCATCCAAAGTGCTTGGTTCTGAACAATTTCTGGCTTTCCTAGTTTGGATCCTTTTCCCAGCAGTACCGTTTTGTCTGGCTTTAAAACATCTTAGCTATAATAATCCCACACAATAGAGGGAAATAGCTTAGTCTGGGAATCATGACATTAGTATGTTCACAATCACATATGAACAAAACTAATTCATCCTTATGTCTTGCCCTGATTAATAATAACTAAATCAGCCTTGAACTACCTTGGAAATAAGCAGTAAGACAGTAACCTCCAGACTTTGGGCTGACTAGATCTCGTGCTCATTCCCTGGCTTCCTAACTCTGATTGTCCTCTCCTTCGACTTTCATCTTGTATGTCAAGATGGAATCTTGCATCTGTTACAAATGAATGGTGCTGCCACAAATAATCAGACATTCTGTGTGCACCAGTTATGTGCTGGGTGCTGTACGCATGGCAATCAAGTTACCATCCCAGCTCAAGGGATGTGTAACTGACATTACAGAACACATTTCACTGGGTTCTGTTTTTTTCTGTATAACATTTCAGACCATTCTTCTTTTGCTGTGGGAATCTTTTCTTTTGGCAGGTTCATTGCTTTTCAGGTAATTGATGATATAATTATGTTCACCTTTTGAGTATGTAAAGCAATTAATGGTTCCCACGGCTTAAATAATTCTTCTCTCATAGCACAGAAGCTCCATAGCATGCAGTAAATTTGCAGTCCCAACCACACATAATATCTGTGGTATCCAATATTTAATGATCTTGGTTTATATGGTGCCTGTTCCATTGAGGTTTTCTAATAAATTAATTCATTATCAAATTATGGACATATTCTGTTAACCATTCACAAGCTATTACCAATGCTGTGTTGAAAATTTCTTCCATATTTCCCCCTTTCCCCATTTCCATTTGACAGAAAAGAAACTCTTTTTGAAATGAAACTGAAATGTAAAAATATATTTTTAGAGATATTTTCATGGGTAGGGTCTGCGGTTATTTTGTTTACCTTATTTATCAGATGACTATATACATGAGTTTCACTGCACAATTATTTCTTTGGAAACCTGTAACCTCCTCAGTTTTGTAGATTCCAAATAATGCCCAGGAGAAGGCATCCTGAGGTATTTTTTCCCATAGATCTTCCTCAGATCAGGAAGCACAGGTAGGCTAAGATGCTGCGAATCAAAGGAGATGTATAATGAGAAAAAAAACCAGTCATGTCAACCACCATGCAATGATTCTGTAAACTCAAAAATGCCAACAAAATAAAGGCAAAATAAATGTTACCATACCCTAAAAATGAGGTAGAAGCAGCTTCATTCATGGGGAAGAAAATGAATAAAAAATTGGAAGAAATATTTTGACAAAGAATTAGCCCCATCTTTTCCCTGAAGCTGGATGCAATAATCCCCTTTCCCCAGCAATATTATAAATATCTTTATTAGACAGACCACATTAGAATGACTTGGTTTGCATAGCATGATAACCCATGGTGGTTGTGAGCCATGTTTATTTCAGAGGCCTTTCAAGTTTGTTTGAACTGGGCAAGGTGAATCCAGCACAGTTTGTTAACCATTCACAAAGCGCGCGCGCGCGTGTGTGTGTGTGTGTGTGTGTGTGTTTACAATATTTATACCCTGTCCTTTACGAGACATCCCAGGAAGGCTTACCATGGCTTGTTGTTGGTTTATTCAGGCTAGCTTGGTGTGGCATCTGAAACCAGCACAGCAGTTTCAGTGTGGAGTATTCCAAAGGCTACAAACAACCTGTCTGGTCCTTGCAATCTTGCTTGCTGAGCTCTGCTTGGCAAATTCATATGCTGCTTTTCTCTTTCATCCAGTTTTGTGCTACATTTGAATGTGACCCTGTTTTTTCTCCTTGTGAGCTGAAGTTCCTTTTCTGGGCAGAGCTATGTGTATATGCATGATTGTCTTGGCTCTGGTTAAGGACATGAGTGCTCAATTTGGTACCATGGCAACTGGGGAGGGTTAAAAGGCGGGGGAAAGTATCTCAGAAACAACAGAAGAGAAAATTCTGGCATGAAAACAGGAGGAGCAAAATTTAAATTGCCCCACTCCTGATTTTCTGTGGACCTGAATTGGGGCAGTGCATGCTTACCCAGAGATAAATTGATCATATCACTGTGCCCTGCTTTGAAAATTTAGAGTCCCTAACGATGGCCAACACCAAGGGCCTACAGGAAAGATGATTCTGAATCTATCCCCACAGAAGGAGGGGTGTTTTACCTCTGAGGTGGAGGCTGCATGCCACCTAACCTTCAAGAGTGTCTTCACCTCAAGAGACAGGTCAAAAGGAGTCCTTAAAGGAGACGATTGAATTGAAAGAAGGACTTCTTGAGAGGAAAGGACTCCTTGGAAACTGGACGGGATGGGTCTCGAGAAGCTCTTAGAACATAAACCTGCATTAGCAGGGCAGCTATTGCTAGAAAGTGCAATGCACCAGGTAAAGTGCCTTTGTTCTGTGACTGAACCTCTGTGCTACTGCCTTTGGACTCCTGCTTCACTGCTTCCTGGACTATGTATTGCATCTGACCGTTCATCCCCATTCTGACCTTGGCTGCTCGTTTATATTATCTTTTTAAGTCTTCATCTCACTGGGTAAACTGTGTCTTTGACCATTGCCTGTCTATAGTTTAACAAAATACTGAATCTGACCATTGCAGGACACACACATGCATGCGTAGCTCTGATAGCAAAAGAAGAATCGCTTTTTCCTGGCTGTGAGAAGCAGCCAAGGAAGTGTTTTGTTTGTTTTATGAATTGAAGGGCAGCCAAAAGCCTAAAAAGGATTGCATGTTTGACAGGGAGAAGGCTTTTACTCTTATTGCTCAGAAAAATCTTCAGGGTGGTGGAGGACAGAAAAGGGAAGGGAGGAGGAAGGTGAATGAAAGCATAACTCTTTATTTCTCAGGGATGTCTTTGAGATCTGATGGAAGGGTAGAAAAGTCTCTCTCTTGAGCTGGCAAAGGCAAAAGTCACCCAGTACAGAAAGTGTACCAATAACAGAAAAAGTCCATTGATGTAACAAAGCTGTGAGGGTTCCTGGGATTCAAACCAGGAGCAAGCAGGAGGACTAAGCGGAAAACAAACTGTGGCATGACAATCATCTTGGGGAGTAACTTGAGTTAGTGAGCAAACAACCTACCCACTGTGTCTTATTTTCAGCAGGGCTTAGTGTGTTGTACAAACAGGTC